GCTTACAGACTTATTTTATCAGAAATGACTTCTGCATTTTATCAAACACCTATTCAACTTTTAATGTTTTATCACACGAAGTTATTCTCCTTTAATTTGTTAATGTGATGAAGTATGTTCAGAGCCTTCCTTATGTTGAAATCTCCCTGGATTTTCAGAATAAGTCGATTTAATCATGGTGTAAAATTCTTCTGATACTCAGGAGGACTGAATTTGTTAATATTTTATATAGAATCTTTGTATCTGTATTTACAAGTAAAATTGAACCGGTAAGTTTTGGCAATAAAGATTATTCTAGCATCATAAAATGAAAGTATTAGCTGTTTTTAAAAAATTCCCAAAGAAATAAGCTATAATAGTATCTTTGCCTAGTGACTTTAAAAAGTTATTGAAGTATAATATACGTAATCTAAAATAGATGGAATAAATAAATAAATGAAAGAAACCAAGGGAAGGCGAAAGTGGGGGCCATGACATCTGAAGGGAAGAAGTATAGAAACAGGTAGAGATTAGGAAAGAGAGGATAAATTTGGGGATGAATGGAATTTTATATAAATACGGACTTGAGAAGAGGGTGTCATTCAAAGGAGGCAGTAGCAGATGACTAAAAACTCTGAAAAGAAATCGACAGTGTCACATTACGATGATGAGCAGAACTTGAAAAAAAACAAAAACCAAGCAAGCAAACAAATAAACAAAAAAACACTCTGAATTCTTTAGGAAAACAGTTTCGGCAGGAAAAAAATTAGAGGTCGAGGGCAAACTTCTACCATGGTTCAGACGTTTTGCGGACACTCAGTCCTCGCGATAAGTGCGTGAGTAATGGTCATCATTACAATCCTGTTTACCTTTGAGGAAAATGATGCTCAAGACATTAGCCACCTTTCCCAAAGCCATGCTTGCAGTGAGGGTTGGAAGCTGGTGAAGATGTTTGCCTTGCAAACCTGTACCTTTCCCACTGCCAGCTACATCACATTGCCTCTCAAATGAATCTAGAAGAGAGCTGAGGTGGAATGCAGCTGTTGAAATGCTGCCTAGATTTGGTGGTGGCTGTGGGGGAGTCCACGTCTGCCCTTTTGTGAAGGTTAACACATTGGTGAGGATGAAAACCAGACTGCAGGCAGTAAAAGTGGTGACAGTAGCAGAGGAAATCAGAGGAAGTGGGTGCAGGCCACTCCTTGAAGAATTTGGGGAGCTAAAAGACACAATAAATTGCCATTAACTATTTCTGTGTTGATTTTTCTTAATGCATTTTTTGAGACTACCTAGAGAGACAGGTCAAATTATGGCCCCACGGAAAGCATTCATTCTCTAAAATAGCTAGATTTAAAAGGCTCTAATTTCTCAACTGCTGTTTTAAAAATCACTCAAATATATTGGATCATTCCCAAGGTTTTAAAAATGAATAAATTGAAGTAGTGCTTAATTTCCCAATATATAATCTGTTGGACTCCGTTCTAAAGGCCTCCTGTTCTTTAAAGTTGTCCTATTAGCAATGACAGCACAATGCAGCACTGGTACTTCCAGTCAAGATGCTAGCATATTTTTCAGAGGACCTTTACATTTCTTACGCTCTCTAACAATAGAAATGGATCAAATAAAAATTAAAAAATGAAGAAAAAAAGGAAGACATCAGTTAATTTTGGTTTTGTGAAAGAAAACTTTCCCGATTGATTTTGGGGGAGGGTTTCCTGCTGACATTCCCAGAGCTAATTGAATTTTCAGTAATTTGCTATTAGTACTGGCTATATTTGCTGAAAATTCTGCTAATGAATAATTTATAAAGCAGGAAGAAGATATTAGGTCTCAGTTTGGATGACTGCCAAGTCTAAGTCTCTCACCTTGATGTTGTACCTCAGTTCCAGTTCCACTTTTTCAGCTGCCTGAGGCTACCTCCACCTGAATTTCCCATTATTAACTTGAATTTAATAAGTGCAAAAACACACTTAGCATTTTATGCCTCAAATTCTTTCTACTGACTTCTTTACTTTTGCTAACAGGACCGCAGATCTCCTAGTTACCTAGAATCAAACCTTCAACTAGCAACCATACAATTTACTGAGGGCTTCCTATCAGGCAGAAACCCTGGTAGTGTAGTGGTTAAGATCTTGGCTGCTAACCAAAAAGTCAGCAGTTCAAATCTACCAGATGCTCCTTGGAAACCCTATGGGGCAGTTCTACTCTGTCCTACAGGGTTGCTATGAGTTGGAATTGACTGGAAGGCATTGTGTAGTTAAGGGCTGACCAGAAATAAGTATTTAATCTTCCCAAAAGCTGTGAGGTAGTATCCTTACTTTATGATAGGGAAACTGAGGGTCTGTGAGGTCAATAATTTAAGTTCACCTAACTACCAAGTGGGAGCTCAGGATTCAGCCCTAGGTCTGCAAATATCCAGAGTCTGTAACTTTCAACTGCCTTGTCATGTTGCCTTAAAGTTACCTCTGACTCCTTCCTCTGTACCTAATCATACAGACTGTGTCCTTATAATGTCCCATACTATTGTCCTCTCCTATCCATTTTCCATGCTACAGTCTAGTTCAGTCTCTCATTGCCTTTCACCTCTCCAAACTGGTCTTCCTGCTCTTTATCTACATACTCATCTTCTTAAAAAGTCACTTTACTTACACTATTAGCCTAGTGAAAAACCTTCGATGGTACTCACAGTCTGAGTGTAGTTTTCTTAGTCAGACATTCACATTACCATATACCCTTCCAATCTTAGTTCCAACTACTTCCCTTCATGAATCCTAAGTTCTATTCAGTCTAGACGTCTTCCTTTACTCTGAACTCCTCTACCGTTGTAATTATACTGATTCCCTTCACGATCTAGATTAAATGCTACTTCGTTCATGAAGTCTTCCATGAGTCCCTTAATCAGATAAAGTTGTTCTGGATTTTTCTCATGACAACATATTCTAGCCTGTACTGTGGTAACTTGTGTACTTCTCTTATCATCCCTATAGGATCCTAGCTCCTTTAGGGTTGAACTGTGTATTACCATTATCTGTGTAGCTGGTAGCATGCAGCACAGTGCAATGCACATGATTTTTTGCTTCAAAAGTGAAGATGAATACAATTTTATTGCTTGCTGCTGTCACAGTTTGTGGTCCATGTATTCAAGATGTTTTCAATCCAGTAAGGGAAACAAAATTAATATTAAAAATTATCTAGAGAATAATCAGGAGCTCAACTGTGAAAGCGAACAGAGAAGAGAGAACAGGAGGGAAGGAAGAGATGGAGAAGGTTTGATAGAAAAGTGGGGACCTGAGTTCGATGCTGACAGGTGAAGAAAGTTACTATAAGTGGAAGGGGACATTCAGAGGAGGGGGAAAGCATAAGTGAAGGTTCCGACATAGGGACGGGCTCAACAGGTCTGGGGACAAACATGGCACTTTAGGAATACCCAATGAAAGGGAAACATACAGGAAAGTTCAGGGTTTTCCAAAGTAAAACAATTTAATTTCCTTATAGTCTCATTTATTTAAAAATATTCTATCACAAGCTTTTTGTGATAACCAGCATTTTTCCAAGTTAGTTGCAATTAGTAAATTTTTACTGAACATTCCTGTATGGCTATATAATTGCTAGAATTCATCATTGACAATCTAAATTACAGTACATGGTAATATGCTGGCAAAAAGCTTTTTTTTTTTTTTTTTTACTGCCGTCATATTTTAAGGTTTTGATTTCTAACACAGTCAAAAACATACAGTTAGAGATTGTCTCATGGATTAGAGTTTAGAACTCTGAAAAAATAAAGCCATTTTTATAATGAGCTTTCTATATCCTCAAGAAGTGTCTTCATCTGATTTATTCATGCAAAATTGTTTTATGATTGCCCCTGCTGTTGTTCCAAGAGGGGAGAAGTTCACAAATGTATAATGAAAATATGAAGCTCATTTACTTATTACACTTGTGGTCTAAACCAGATTCAAAACTGGCCTATAGAGATTAACCAGTATTGGTTGTGATAAATTACTCCACAGACATATTCCCCACCAAAGGACTAGCAGACGAAATAAAGAAAATTGCCTAGTTCATTTTTAAAAGCCTCTTTAAAAGTCAGGACAAGCAGAAAGAAAGAGATTTTAAGTATACATTTTTGACTATATGCTGTTTTTGGGGAAAAATAAGACATCAATAAATTTTATTGATTATAAAACATTGACCATTTTTACATTTGCTAGTTTTTTTCCTTAAGACCAGAGCATTGCTAATTTTCTCCGTATGTGTATAATTTGTCTTTGACCTTTAACAAATGTCCTTTAAGCAGTCAGTCCACTTACCATCCAAGAAGAATGCTACAGCATCATTTTACACGCACACAAAGAGTTGAAAGCTCCATAAAAATAAATGATCCATGATACAAGATACATTAACCAGCAGAATAATAAGCTATTTCAGCCCTGTAAACTTTAGTGCCCATCCATTCAAAACCGCACTGGATCACTTTAACATTAAATTCATAGGAACAAAATGGTAAATACACATGTTTTATTTGGTAAGATGCCAACAACATATTTTGTGTAAAAGTTTGTTAGCCTAGGAAAACCTATCCAAAGGCACATCGGGCAGTGTATATTTAAAAACAATGTCTCCTTCCAATACATGATTTTGTGTTACATATACATTTACTATTAAGCATTATGTATATTTAATGCCACAATGTCTACTTCAATGCCCTAAAAGGCTTTTGTTCACTTTATAGTTTCCATTATTGAAGAACCAAGGTTCAGTTCCCCCACAATTTTGTAAAGTGCAGGCAACCCACAAGAGCTTCTAGTTTTAGCTGGCTGCCCCGTGGGACCACGGTAATTGTTATGAAGTCATTAATTCTACCTCAGCAGTTTCACCTGTCACGTACATGTAACAATAATTGCAGTTAATGAATGCTGCTCAATTTATTAAGTGCAAAATGAAAACCAGCATTCTTTTATATGCAGCACTGAGGCATATGATCATTTATCATTTGTGTATACCGTGTTGAATATTCTACTGTCATTTATTGAGCAAGGTATATAGCCATATTTTAAAAAGAAAACAAAAAACACTTATCTTCATTAAAGAATAATGCAGGAAATTCCAACTCTCTAATTAAAGGGTAATTTAAAAAATTATATCCAAAAGCAATATTTAATAAAAATCTACGTCTGTGAAAAACAATCTAGTGGAACCAAAGCTTGTTTCCTGCTTTGGATAAACAAGATTCCTTATTGCGTCATCCTCCTCTCCTACAATCCTTACAAGAGTTTGAAAAAGTCCAAAAGCTTCCAGTTGTTTGAAATATTAGTGTTGTTTCTTTCTCAAAGTTATGGGCAGGAAAACTTCTGTAAGCATAGAAAACAGTCTATTTCTTGATATAAAAAAACAACCAAGAACTAGATTTCTTTTCTATCACTCAAAGTAAACTGCATAGACATTTGCAAGAGCAAAGAGAGAAGAATTTCTGAAAACATAAGATGAAAAAGTATCACTTTTAGGATCCCAGAGGCATCTGCTTCCGATACGTATACTCTGACTGTTCAGTTGTCCAATGTAAACAATCACAATTAGCTTATACCGTGGAATCATCAAGTCCTTGACCCGGGCTTTGACAACCTACCAATTTAAAAGGAAAAAAAAAGTCTTCATTTATCATTTAACCACACTGAAACTTAAAAATCTTAATCTGTGTCATACATATAAACCAAAAACCAAACCCATTGCCGTTAAGTCGATTCCGACTCATAGTGACCCTATAAGGACAGAGTAGAACAGCCCCACAGGGTTTCCAAGGAGCGGTTGGTGGATTTGAACTGCCTACATTTTGGTTAGCAGATAAGCTCTTAACCACTACACCACCAGAGCTCCTTATCATACATACAGTGGATTTAATTTTTTAAAAATTGCATGCGAATTGTTGATTCTTTCGCTAATTGTTGTAGATCCATAACTATGATTTCCTTCAAGCACTGTCCTCATCAGATTGCATATACAGGATCAAAATGATAGCACCAGCAATAAATCTACATTTTCTAAGGCATATGGAAAATGATAATCCAGAGCACAGAATTTAAAGGATTTATTAAATTCTTTGCAAATCTATGTTAAGATGGCGTCCCTTCAAAGGAAGTTGGCTTTAAAGTTATATTGTCTGGCTCATGTCAAATTAAGGGGCCATACACAGGACATTCCGGTAATATGACTAATCATGCGTGTTTATTTGCTAATTTTTTGTAAAAGAGAAAGTAAAGAAAACCTAGATAAACTGTCAGCCCTTTAGTTGATAAAAATAGAAATGTATTTTAAGATCACAATTTCTACCTCAAAGCGGTAGTTGCTCCTTCGGTGAAGAGAAAATGATAATTAAAATATTGTACCTTCTACAATAAAATTTTTTGTAAATGGGACAGTAATATACATTTTCTTTATAAAATATATGAAAATGTTGCACATAATAATTGTTTTAGCCAAAAGTTTTCACACACACACACACACACACACACACACACACTATGGAATATGACCTAATTAATAAATCTTTTCATAAAATATAAATATGCTTTCTTCCTGCTACTGCGAATTAATTCCCTTCATCAAAAAGTAGGAGGCTGTTGTGCTTTCAGCAGATATTCTAGTTACAGTTAACACTTTGGGAAAATCACACATGTACCTCAGAAATTGTTTTAGTCATCTGTCTACAGAGCTCTGGTTCATATTCTTCCTCTTGCAGATAGTTAGTTAACACATCTTTCAAAATATGATTGACAGCAACCACAGGAAAATGTTTTGTAGGACCTGAAAAACACATACAGAATTTCTTTCTAAGAAGTAATTTCAAACCATATCCACCCACCCCATATGCTAATCAAAATAGTACTGAAACATGAAGGGACATTTAATCTCCTGGGTGGTGTCTATTTAAGGAAAAAAGTGGTCCTAATTAGGTTTCCAGTCAGGTTCTCTGGAGGGACAAGGAGATAATGGATTCATACATTTACTAGACTAGGAAAAATGTGTGTTCAATACTGTTGAGGTTTGGCATTCCAAGTCCTCTCCTTCCCTGTTCCTACTGTTAGTGACCTACCTTAAAGTTGCAAGATCTTTCTAATTGGGTCTCCTGCTTTTATGTCTCCCTCTCACTGCAACTCACTCTGCACACTGCACCCAGAGTGATCACTCTAAAGCCCAGATCTTACTGTGTTATTTCTTTTCTTAACAAGGTCTAGGGTACAACCCCTACCCAACTCATAGCCTCTTGGCTCCCTATGCATGCTGATCCAGTCTTCTTGATTCCACCGGGCTTTTAAAGGATGAAATCCCTGGGTGGTGCAAATGGTTAATACACTTGTTTGCTAACTGAAAGTTTGGAGGTTTGCGTTCACCCAGAAGTGCCTTGGAAGAAAGGCCTGGTTATCTACTTCTGAAAATCAGGATTGGAAACCCTCTGGAGCACAGTTCTATTCTGACACACATGTGGTCACCATGAGGAATGCTCGACTTGATGGCAACTATGAGATTTTGTGTGCGTGTGTGTGTGCGTGTGTGTGTGTGTGTTTAAAGAATGCTGTGTGCCTTTGCTCTAGCTCTTGTTTTCAAATGGAACATCCTTCTCCATCTTGCTTGTCTGACAAATAGTACTCATTTTTCGAGGCCACTTCAAATGTCTTCTTCTCCAGGTAGCCTTCCACTTCCCTTCAGACTGACACAATCACTCTCTTCTCTGTACTCCCAATGCACTTGGTCCCCATTTCTACCTTGTCTCCTAATCCTCTTGATAGTAGCTAAGGCACACTTGTCTCTCTCCTCAGTGAACTAGTAAGCAGGGTTAGATTTTATTCTCCTCTTGCTAAAGGTATAAGAAATGTTTAATGTATAATTTCTCAATATAAATGGAATTAAATATTTTATAGAAAGTTATCACAACACAAATAATGGCTACTTTTTATTGAGCATTTTCTGTGTCAGGCACTATACTAAGTACTTTATATTTATTACCTTACCTAATCTCTCGACAAATTTGAAGTGAATCCTACTGCTATTGCCGTTAAAAATATACTTTTTAATTGCATTTATTAGCAAGATGACTAGTTAAATGCTTAACAAAATGAATTTTCAGAGGTTTATTAAACACATTGAGAAACTTGCCCAAGATCACACAGTAGTAGAGCTGGGAAGCACATCCAGGTTTATTTAACTCAGAGTCTATATTCATAGTCACATTTAGTCCATGTTCACAGCAGAAGCTTGAGATCTGTCTGTTCTTCCCTGAACTCTGGGAATCTTACCTGCACCTCCAAGGAGCATTAGCCTCATCATCTCTCTGGGTACATGCCCCTGTCATTGTACTACACGTACATGTGCCCAGGGCCTGACAATCATTATTTGCAGAATTGATATGGATTAAGGAATGAGATCAAGAATTCTATCTAATTCTATTTTAATAGTTGTCAATATATTTTACTAGGTGTTTATTTTTCATGACTACATTTGTCAGGGTCTAAGGAAACATATGGCATACTTAAGTTAGAATAATTCCAGAAGGCTTCAGTAAAGGGATTCTTTAGGGAGGTCCACCATCTGTGTATCATTTTGTTGTGCTGTGGTGGCTTGCGTGTTGCTATGATGCTGGAAGCTCTGCCATTGGTATTTCAAATACCAGCAGGATCACTCATGGTGGACAGGGTTCGATGGAGCTTCCAGGATAAGACAGACTGGAAAGAAAGGCTTGACAATCCACTTCTGAAAATTAGCCAGTGAAAACCTTATGGATCACAACAGAACGCTATCTGACTCTTCGGCCATGTCATGAGGAGGGATCAATCGCTGGAGGACGACAACATGTTTGGTGAAGAAGACCAGTGAGGGCGAAGGAGACCCTTGATGAGATGGACTGGCACAATAGTTGCAACAATGGATTCAAACATGCTGAATCGTGAGGATGATGCAGACTGGACAACTTTTCATGGCATTGTATATAAGGGTGTCATGAGTTGGAGTCGACTCAACAACAGCTATTTATCTCTTAGAAAGTTCCGAGAAGGATGTAGGAAATCAGCTTCTGACTTCTAAAATAAGTTTTGGAAGATACGTTGAGAGTCAACTGATGAGAATGCCAAAACTTTTTCTTTTTTTGAGAGAATCTTTTCCCCCTTTATTCGGAAAAAATGTTTTTGGAAATTAAAAAGCAAAGACCTGAATGGTCAGGATGAAAAAATAAACAAAAAACTGTCCACAAATGATTTAAAAGAGAGTAAAGATCTGGTTATTTAATATATCTATGCTTCAGCTCCCACAAATTGGGAAAATTATAAGAATTACTATATTGTTAGGGTTAAATGAGATAAAATATTTAAAATTCTTACAATAGTGCCTGCCACACACACATAACAATCATTAGATATTTATTATTATTAATGTTGTTGTTGCTGTTATTGTTATTACCTCATTCTGAGTGAAGGGATGGGGGATATTCCTTGCTGAGAAGGCAGTGGTGGGAGAGGATGTAAGCAGGGAGACAGTGAAGCCCTCCATGGATGGGAAGGACCCCATGGGGTGAGCAGAGTCAACGCTGAGAGAATGACAGGTTTCAAGAAAGTGTCCAATGACAGCCTAAACACCTCATGGAAACTGACCTCAATGATCTCTCTCTCTCTCTTCAACTTCAGGCTCTACTTTCCATCACGTTGGCTTCATTCTCATGCAGACTATCTCAATGTGGCAGCAAAGACGGCATCAATAGCTCGTTTGACCTGGAGCTCACTGTCAGTGTTTTCAAAGAATCAGATACCCCCGTGGAGTACTCATCCCATAATTAATAGGAATTGTATTGAATATCATGGGAGGCTTCTATTCTTAGTGATAAGGTGAAGTCTTAGAGTTAGTCCCTTTCAGAAGTAATAGCATAATGAATGAAGAATCAATGTAAATATATTACTTCACTTAATTGTCACAGCACCTTTCTGATGTATGGACTTTTATGCATAGACAAAGAGCTTATAGTCAAGGATGTTGATTGTCTTGCTCAAACATAATTTATTTAGGAATTCAAACTAATATTCAAACTCAGATACATCAAATTCTAGTCTGTATTTTCTCCTATATTTTTGTTTTGGTAATTAATTAATGAGAAAATGTAAATGATGTTTTATTGCAAGAAATATACTTTTCGTTTTCCATTCTTTTTTTTTTTTTCTTTTGTTCATTATATTCAGGTTTCATCTCATTTTTTGGCGTCTATAATCAACATCATGATAAAAAACCCATTGCTGGTGTGTCGTTTCTACCATCATGTCGATTTTGACTCATAGTGACCCTACAGGACAGAGTATAACTGCTCCATAGTGTTTCCAAGGAGCGGCTGGTGAATTTGAACTGCTGACCTTTTGGTTAGCAGCCATAGCTCTTAACTGCTGTGCCGCCAGGGCTCCAATGATAAATGTAGAAAAGACTGAAGTTGTCAAGGATTTAACTTTACTTGGATCCACAATCAATGCCCATGGAAGCAGCAGTAAAGAAACCAAAAGACACATTGCATTAGGCAAATCTGTTGCAAAAGACCCCTTTAAAGTGTTAAAAAGCAAAGATGTCACTTTAAGAACTAAGATGCACTTGACCCAAGCCATAGTGTTTTCAACTGCCTCATACGCATGCAGAAGCGGGGCAGTGAATAAGGAAGACCAAAGAAGAACTGATGTCTTTGAATTATGGTGTTGGCAAAGAATATTGAATATACCATGGACTGCCAAAAGAATGAACAGATCTGTCTTGGAAGAAGTACAGCCAGAATGCTCCTTAGAAGCAAGGATGGCAAGACTACACCTCACATACTTTGGACATGTTATCAGGAGGGACCAGTACTTGGAGAAGGATACCATGCTTGGTAAAGTAGAGGGTCATCGAAAAAGAGGAAGACCCTCAACGAGATGGACTGACACGGTGGCTGCAACAATGGGCTCAAACATAGCAATGATTGCGAGGATGGCACAGGACTGGTTGTACATAAGGTTGCTATGAGTCGGAACAGACTTGACAGTACCTAACAACAAAAACATAATTAATTATTCAGGGAGAACAAACATGTTCAACATTTAAGATGTTTTTAAATGATGCAAATATTATTGGATAGAATACGAAAATTAATTAAACGTAAGAGTGCTGGTGATTGACTAGTTTTTTCTTCTTCACTCTGCTGGCCAGTATTGCATTGCGTGGGTAAGGCAGAATCTTTACCAAAGTCCCAAAAAGTGCCTCTGACATGCAAAATAAATCTAGAAACAAATAGAAGTGGATATACATTTTTAATTATTAACAAGATGATTAGTTGAATGCTTAAAAAATGAGATTTTCAGGCATAAAAGATTAATTATAAAAGAATAATCCACGTAAACTTTTGGTAAGAAAACAGATTGACTTGACAGCAAAGGGTTGGTTGTTATACTAAGATATTTCTAAAATTACTTTTTTAACTTGGCTTAACACTCAGTATTTCTAAAACTGATAAGACAATTTATTTGAGAAAATAGTTTATGAAAATATATCCTAATGAAGAAGACACACAGGGCGTCACATTTTGACTGCTCTACATTGTTGACATGTGACTCAAACCTTTCTAGCATGCATAGCCAAAGTCACAGGCACCAAATGGCTAAGATCTTTTAGCTGGAGGTGGGAGAAAACTTGACCCAAATGTGGCTTATCTAACTGAAAAGCCTAAGGGTAGTCAGCTGAATTTAGGACTCAAATGGTGATAGCAGGATTTGGTTGTTCTCTCTCAGCTCTGCCTTCCCTTACGCTGGCTTCGGTCTCAGGTTCCACGTAGGAGCAAGGTGGCAGAAACTGCCAAACCCAAAATTCTTTCAGGTTTCAGGGCCTGATTTGCTTCTCCAACAGCCCAAACATTCCCTGAATTGAATCTCAAAAGCTTTGATTGGCTTGACCAGAGTTATATGCCATTCCAGAATCAGCCACTGTTTCATTTCTGAGGTCAGTGTCCACTCTACCAGAATGGTATGGACCAAAAATGGTGAAGATTGTGGCAGTGGGGCTTCCTCAAAGGAAACTGGGTAAAGTTACCAGAAGTATAAAAGTATATTGGATGGCAGCAATAACAGATGTCCACTACCGGCACTCAGAAAATACTAGTAGATTGACTAATTATGGAGCCCTGTAATCCATGTAGTTTTGGTGATTACTGTAGAAAACTGGCTACAGGGTTTAATGGGATGCATTGATGGTCTATAATTTTCTCTGGGTTAACTGGCCACAGATGGAACTACCTTGCCTCATAGGGTCTACCTTTGGTCCTTGGTAAGTCTCTGTGGAATTCTATATAGCAGTAATTATATATGGGTTCCGATAATAGTGGACAGATTTGCATTTACAGAAAACAAGTAGGTCTATGAGGAAACATGAATGGGAAAAGCTACTCGCCACAGACTCTACCTTGGAGTATACAGGCAGGTGCAAAGATCTTTGTTTGGTAAGAGATAAACATCTCTGTTGACAGGGGACCAGGAATTATTTTCCTTGAAGTATATTTTTTTTTCTCCACCTAACAACAACATCGTTCAGTTTTATTGGATTAAAATTTATTGAGAAGCTCATTAAGTCCAGTACATAGAGTGGCACCAGTCTATCAATTAACTCCACAAAATAACTCATAAATATCCAATGAACTCAGTAACACTCAATAAATGTCAGCGACACAGAGTAAATTGCTTGGTATTTAGGATACAGTGATAAAGAAAAGTAATCAGTGGGTGTTGGTCTCATTTTGCAGAGGAAGAAACTAAAGCAGCATCAAATCACTTAATAAATTAAGGTCCCTTATTTTGTGCCAGGAGTCCCTGGGTGGTGCATATGGATAAGCGCTTGACTACCAACTGGAAGGCTGGTAGTTCGAACCCACCCAGAGGGTCCCTCAGGAAAAACGCCTGGAGATCTGCTTCTGAAAAGTCATAGCCTTGAAAATACTGTGGAGTGCAGTGCTACTCTGCACAGATGGGGTCGTCATGAGTCGGAATTGACTCAACGGCAACTGGTTTGGTTTTTTGGTTTTATTTTGTGCTAGGATTGAAGATAACTTCAGGTTACCAGATATTATTTACATCAGCATCAGTCACCAGGTTAGAAGTTTTCAAACAGGGGTGAGTGATAAAATAACAGACCTAACTGGTAGGTGTTTTCCATCTGAACTGTAAGGCGAGAGGCATCATCACGCTGGCTAGGTTCATCCATATATGACACAGTACTCAGGGAGCTAACAGCAAGGGAGAAAAAGAAATCTTAGTAGTTGTTATAACAATAATAACAAAATGCAATGTTGTGTTAAGCTAAAATGTTATAAAGATAAAGTTTTCTCTATGAAAATTTTAAGAAAGTCCTAAGCAAATATCCCAGGGACATATTTAAAGTCTAAAACATTTTAGAGGTGGAAAAATTAAGACATAGATAAGTGTCAACCCAGTGTCATCTGATTATCCAGAAAGTGTTCTTTTAACAGATCATGTCATGTCTATTAATGCTTGACCTCTATCTATGGGGCCAGAGTACAAGTTCCAAAAGCCATTGCCAATCTCGTCTCTATCACATATGCAAACGCTCTCCCCATAGAGGACAAACCTCACAAAGAGGCCTGGGGAATGTAAGAGGAAGCTTACCATACTAGGAAAAAACTCTGTGTACACCTGGTGGGGGGGGGGTTATGAAAAGTTCACTATAACATGTACTTCACAAAAGCCCTTTAGTAGAAAAAAGAAAATTGAGAAACTCATCTATATGGTGAGAAAAACCTCAATTCATTCTATCGTAGATCGATAAGCGTCAATCATCCTTTTCAACATTAAGAAAGGGGTTTGGTTTGGTTACCAAGGCAATATGAGCTTACCCAGGTGCTGAACAGGAGACCCAAGAAAAGAGGAACCTCTAATTGTCCCTCAAGTGCTACTTAAAATTCAACTTAATTCAGAGGAAACTCAACTGTCACTAATGGCAGTCTCAGAACTCCCCACCCGCTTCTCTCCACCTGTGAAAATGGAAGTTAAGCCAGATGTCATTTCAAAGGAGACGATATAATAGAGTGTGTGTGTGTGTGTGTGTGTGTGTGTGTGTGTTAGTTTGTTCAGAAGGGCCACTTTTCTCAACGGGCTATATTTTTTTTAACTTAAAGAGACAAGGAGAATTGGTTCTTAATCTTTAGGGACTTTTTTTCTCCCTCAACAAAGAGTTTAACATACTCTGTTCTCAGCTGTATGGAATTAGTGAATTCCTCACAAATTGATATTCTAAGAAAATCAGCGATAATCTACTTAAAAACTTTTTTTAAAATACAAAACAATTCACATGATAAATTAAGGTTTACCCATCAAGGCCAAGAAAGTGATGTAAGAAATTATGGTTGCTTTTTCACCATGCATTTCTGGATCAGTGTTTTAGTCTTCATTCTTATAACACCTGCTTTCCTCATTATTTTCTGCTGTCCTTTGAAGTAGCAACCTACCTATCTGGCCACACTGACTGCAGGTGTTGTGGGCAGTATCGAAGATGATAGCTTTTGCTTAGAAGACCCAACGTTGAATAAACCCCTGATGGTAAAACAAGCCAGTCTGCCTCAGTATTATATATACTACTTTTAACTTTGCAAAACACTTTCCATCAATGATCTCATTTTACCTTCCAAATATTCTTTAAAGTAAGTAAAGGATTCATTATTCTACCCATTTCAGAGATTAAGGAAATGAGGCAAAGTACTTGCTTAACGTCATAGATGTAGTAAAGGCGGAAATAGATACCAAATATCCTACTTATCACCCAGTGGAAAAGTCTCACATAGGTCATATCTGACAGAATGCAAACAGGGGTCATGACTACCTGAAACAATTAGTTACTGTAGTTAAAACTTACCTGCACGAACTTACAGAAGATACTGATAAAAACCCTCTATCTTTTCTACCGAACATCATACTAAAAACTGATAGAAAATAAAATAGAATTGGCATAAAATTCAAACTAGCAGGAGCTAGAAGTCTAAGACAAGAAAGCAAATAAAGATTTTTACGAACAGCCCACTGTTGCTCTGTTCCATGTTACTAAAGATTGATCATCAGTGCAATTTATGATATTATCACTACAAAATTGGTAAGCATCATAAGGGCAGCTTAAAAAGTCTACTGGCTGAAGATTGGTGTGCAAATAAACAGTTGTATAGATGGACTTTTTTTGAATTACTAAAGATGTTTTTTGTTCAGTGCCTTTTTATTTCTACAACAAGCATATAAACAATGTATACTCACTGTAAAAATTTCAAAACATACAGAAAGGTATAAAGAAAGTAAAATGACACAAAAGATTACTAACCACAGTAACAGAACATGAAACTTGGAGTTTGTTTTGTGGAGGAGATGAGACCTTGGGGAGTAAGGTTCAGCTATTTTGTGCTGGAAATCTGGGGACCCTTATCATCAGAGGGAAAATATTTGGCTAGTCTCTTGCCTTCTGTACTTTGGAAGGCTGACCATGCGTTGACCAAGACTATAACTTCATGGAAAATGGGAGGAAAATTTTACTTGTTAAAAACCCCATATATATATTTTAAACAGTGCTTTAATTTTCACTGAGATATATGACAGTTCCCACATTAGAACGGGATGGGATAGAAACAGAGAGAGAGGAGTAAAAAAAGAATAAACTGAAAAGAAAGAAAAAAAGATATCTATTCCTTGAGAGAGGACAAAAGAAAGAGATAAAAGATTAAAAATGCTTTCAATCTAGGAAAATAACAATAAACCAGAAAATGAGCTTGGTAAATTTTGAGAAATAAAGAGGCCCTGGATTTTAAAATTGGGAATGACCATTATCAGTTCAGTGCACTGGCTTAGAAAAACTCAGACATTGTTTCTCTTGATAAACAGTTTCATATAACACCTTCAAAATCTTCAAAAATCAAAATGTGAGATGCTTAAAAAGTAAATTTATAATTGTGATTTATTGGGCACCTGTCACGCCATTACAGATGGATGACTTGCACTTTTCTATGACCAGACTGTCCCTAGTATACAATGACAACCCTTTTGGACACATGATCTTTTTACAAAGGTAAGGCCGTGGTTATTTTTATCATTTAAATGTGAAAAATATTCTTGCTATCTGTATCATTAGCGTGTTGCCCTTTCTGGAAAAGCAAATTTCAATTGTCAAAATGTGTCCAAGAGAGTTGTAAAGTTTTAGGAAGGAAGGTAGATTAAAAGTAATGGGGTGGGGGAAAGAAAAACAAAAACAATGAAAGACTGGCATAAACCACTGGTGAAAATATTAAATAAATCAACCAATATTTTTCTAGGGAGAAGAGTAACCATTTGTAATCTGATGCAAAATTCAGTTAATACTTGGAATCATGTTCTACTGCTGGGGACAGACTTGGAATTAGCAAAGCTCTTGAGCACGGGATGTAGAAATAGCTCCTTGAAATTGGTCTAAATAACAAAAGTAACCCTCATTGTACCTGGCTGATACCAGAAAGGCATGGTAATTTCCAAAAATGAAACTTTTCATGATAACTCAGTAGCTTGTGATCCAGTTATGTAGAATGGAACCAAAAAAAAAAAAAAAAAAAACAAGCAGTTGGAATATGTTTATTCGTTCATGAAATTGACTTTTCATAAACACACCTTGCAAATTTGCTTGCTGATCGATTCTTGAATTACACACAGTATCATTACAAGGCATGTATTATCATCATGACTGTTAAAAATAGTAACAATAATTTCAATCAAATCTCCCTAGCCACAATACCATCTAATTACTAGTGAGAACTCATTTCCAGCCATTTTTACGGCCATGTTTTGAAGCTCCAGGAAGAGATAATACTCGAATGCATAACTGGCCTGGGAGCCATTAAAGTAGTAGATTAAGACGGACAGAATATCATCTCTTGTTTCTATTTCAAAGTACGAAACACCAGGAACTAGCATATTTGAGATGGTATCACTCAAGCATACCTTTTTTTTTTGGGGGGGGGGGCTCTTAACTAAAGTGATGTGCTGCCTCCCAGTGGACGTTTCAGAGCACCACAGAGAAAAAGGCTTCAGGGTATAAATTCGTACGTTTTTTCTTTCATTCTTTCAACAACATTTATTGTCCACAATGTGGCAGGCAAAGTGGGAAGTACTGGTAATACTAAGAAAAATTAGACAGAGCCACTGTGCTTGAGACACCTGATGTAGAATACAAGATAATATGCACCTACACTTCCCTACTTAGGAACTTCCTACCTAAGGACGTCTATGGATATTTTTGTGAATGTCATGCTTAAGAGTCAAAGCATACCAACTGTTTCCCCATCAGCAGATGGTGTTAGTTGCCTGGCAAGATATTTTAGTTTTGTGTTCATTTAGCTTATAGCAAGTTTGATGGATTTTTATGTAGTTTTCAGGTGTTTTACTCATATTATTAACCCCATATTACTAGTAAAAGGAAGTTTATAGTGGAAACAAATGTCATGATAATGTTCAAAAATGAAAAAGGAAAAAAAATGACAAATGACATGTGTTTTTGTGGGATATGTTTGCAAGAGTAGGAGTTATTCTGAAGGACAGAGAATGAACCATGCAACCTGTGAAAAGTACAAGCGTGACTTGAAACTCTGATGTGATTGAAGATAGTCAAGGAAAGGTGATTGACAAAACAGAATAACGTTGAGTGTGTAGACAGAGAATCAGAGTTAGTATCTGAAGCCTGTTGAACTAATCAAGCAGAAGAAGGAGAGACAATAGGGCAAAGCCAACTGATGAAACTTCTGTTGCAGCTCCTGGATGAATGAACAAGTTCAAAGCTCCATTAGCCTCAGAAATCATCAGAGAGGTGAGGCTGTGAGTCTGGGTGCCACAGTTACCTCTACAATGCTGTGGGGATCATCAATGAGGGGTGTGACCTATCTCAACAGATTTCCAACACAAATGACAGTGTTCTTTTTGGAAAAAGATGTGCAATGTTTTAGCAAGGAGGCATAGGGTACCTTGCTTTAAACTCTTGAATATGCACTTTTCCATTTGCTGTAAATATATTTTATGTCTGTAATATGAAATCCCTTAACTTAATGGATACATATACCTGTGAGCCTAACCTGCTTGTAAGCAAAATAAGTTGCTTGTTCAGGATTAATATAATACAATAATATATTAATTATTCATTCGACAGTCAACAAATATTTATTGAGTTACTACTACGTGCCAGACATTATTCCAGATCCTTGGAATACAATAA